GCTGGCCCAGGTGAGCTGCTGTGCCAGCCCAGGTGAGCTGCTGTGCCAGCCCGGGTGAGCTGCTGTGCCGGCCCAGGTGAGCTGCTGTGCCAGCCCGGGTGAGCTGCTGTGCCAGCCCAGGGCTGCTGAGTGACCAGGGCTGCAGGGCTCTGCTTGCCCTGCAGCTTCTCCTCCCGGCTTCCTCCAACACCTCCTGGGCCAAGGGAGAAGTGGTTTTGCAGGCTGCACCTGCACTTGGGGTTTGTACCAAAGCTCAATGCTTCCAGGGAGGGGGGATCCACAGCTTCTCTGGGCAACCTGAGCCAGTGTCTCACCACCCTCACAGTGAAGAATTTCTTCCTGGCATCTCATATAAACCTGCCCTCTTCCCGTTTAAAGCCGTTCCCTCTCGTTCTGTCATTCCATGCCCCTGTAAAAAGTCCCACCCCAGCTTTCCTGGAGCCTTCTCTTCTCCAGGCTGAACAAGCCCAACTCTCTGTGGACCCAGTTCCCAGCCTGGTCCTTCCACCACGGGTTCAGAGTCCTGCTGGCTGATGGCTGGGTGTGCTCTGGTTGCAGGTGGACCTGTACCTGCAGCAGCTGGCAGAGCTGGAGGTGCTGCTGTCAGAGGAGCAGGCTGGTGGTGGTTCTGAGAGCCAGGAGCTGGAGGGCAGGATGCAGCTGGCTGAGGAGATGCTGCAGACCATCCTTGGGGAAGCCCTGGGCCTGCAAGGTACCACCTGTCCCCTGCCCTTGGATGGGGCCACCAATGCCATATCTGGGGAGGGGTTTGCTTGGCAATGAGTTTCTCTTCAGCCTCCTTCTTTCCTTGTCCCCAGCCTCTGACAGGTCCCTGGAAAGCCGCCTGGCCAGCATGAAGGGGCAAGGGTCCAGGTCCCAGAGCTGCGTGGACGAGACCAAGGCCACAGTGGAGAGGCTGAGGTCTCTCAGGAGCCAGTACGAGAGGCAGGTGCAGGACACCAGGCACCTTCTGGAGAGGGCCAGGCTGGACCTGGACCGCAGCGGAGCCGCCCTGCGTCGGGTGGTAAGAGCATCCTCAGGTGATGGGCTCCCAGGCCAGGCCAGGGCTGGGGAAAAAAACCCATGGAGAGGGCAAGAATGGAAGATATTCCAGTCACTGCTTTGGTTTTGAGAAGGCAGAAGACTTTCTGGTGTCCCTTTCTGTTGGGCTGGGGCTTGGGGAGGTGGTGCTGACGGGTCTTTGGGAGGCTGGGGGGGGTTTGAGGTGATGTAGGTGCCTCGTTTGCTGCTGAAGTGGGTGGAGGGCAGGGAAGAGGACTCACCCCTCTCCTCCTCCCTCCACAGAACATCCCTGTTTCAAACCTTCCCGGGGGCTCCAGTCAGCTCTTGCTGCTGGCCCAGGAGGCAATGAGACTGGCCAACAGGTGAGTTGCTCCTGCCCCTGGCCAGGAGGGAAGGGAAGGGGGACTCAGAAGGGCACCCAGGAGGGGCCCCTTTCCCCACCCCTCAGTCTGCAGCTTCCACCACCTCCGTGCTGCTCCTGGAGCAGGGGAGGACTTGTCTGCTGGTCCACAAGAGCTCTCCTTGCTCACCTTGGAGGGTGGTGTGGGGTGTGTTCTGGAAGTACCTTCGAGGCCAGAGCTTGGAACTGGAGTTGCCCACCTCCCTGCTCCTCCCCTGCCCCTGGGAAAGAGATGATGAGTGTGTGTGTGAGGAAGGTGTCGGGTCCCACCGAACACACCAGGAGGACACTGGTGTGGGGAGCCCTTCTGAGGAGCCCCTCTGTGCTTTGCAGCCAGCTGGACGCTGTGGGGGCCGCGGGGCGAGCGGCGGCGGCGGCGCGGGGGGACGGGCAGCAGGGGCTGAGGCTGCTGCAGGAGGCTGGGCAGGGGGGCCCGGGGGGCTCCCCGGCAGCTCTGCTGGCCAGGTGAGTGTGGCAGGGCCGGGGGGCTCCGGG